CAGGAAGGTGAGGGGTATGTGTCTGACTATTACCGCACTCCCAACAGCTCCCAGTGGTTGGGATTCTACAGTGGAGAGCTCAGGAGGTGGGTGATGCCTTCAAAGGAGGATGTGTGTGTGTGAGAGAGAGGGGAGCTCATCTAGTGGGAGGGAAGAGAGTTGACACTTAACTCAGGAAGAACCGTCCCTAGTGGTAACTCGGAGAAATGAGGCTAAGTCTGAGAGCACCATCCTTGCTCCTCGAAGGAAACTGCAGGGGATCCTGCTTCCATAGTCATGAGCACACACACACACACACACACACACACACACACACACAGCAAAAGTTGGCTGGAAAAAGCCTAGAAAGTAGACTAGAAGGACCATGTGTGTGCCCAGGATGAATTAAGAATATAAATAATTATCAAATGTTGCACTGTGGTATCCTAGGTGCCCACGTAGCTGGTGTGTATCCATCCATCTGCAGGTGCCCCTTTTCCCACTCCGGTCCTCTCACCAGGCGCTCCTGTCCTGATGCGAATCACATCTGTTCCCTTGGACAGCCACACGGTCCTGGGAGGATGGCAGTGCCTGGGTTGGGTTCCACTTGTCGGTTTTCAGGATAAGCCTTTCTCTCGACTTGCCTTCTACCTCACTGGTAACCCTCTGTCTCTCTTGCTGGCTGAGCTCCAGTGGTAAGTGACAGACTGCTTGGAAGGAGACCATGGTCCTGGTTACATTTCATTCTGTTTCTCTGGGAGATTTCACTGTCATGGATTTAAATATTTCAGAATGTTTTTAACTCATAAATCATACAGTTCTCTTCCATATTCCAGACCTGAAGCAACAGCTATCTCCTTGATGTCTGCATTTGCAGATATAATTTACTTCTCGAATGATACTTATGTGCATAAAGGAGGGTTTGATTGATCAAAACAACTTGTTTAACCCCTCATCTTCCCTTCTTCAGTCCGTGTTACCATGCTGCTGGACAAAACCTGCCATTCATTGCTAATTTCTGATGTCCCCATTGATTACCGGTTCCTGTGGGTTCTGTCTTCCAGGTGCCTCTCTCCCCTGTCTCTTCTCTATTACAACTCCCTCTAGTTTTTCAAACCCCAGCCCCATTCACTGTTGTCTTTTCCCAGATTGCTGTGGTCTCTTTGTTTTCATTTTCTTCTTTTGCCCCTTGGGAACGCATTCTCCTCGCAGTCTCTCTGCCAGCCACATCCTTGGCTTGAGAAACATCTTGGGCTTCACATCACCCATCCAGGGAAGCCTGAACACCCCGCCCTGTGCTGCTGCATCAGTCTCGCCTCCTCCCTCTTGCTGGCTTGTTGACTCCCAGCAGATGACATTCTTTAGAACCCTTGAATCCCCTTTTCCTTATTCTGGGCTCTGGTACTTGCCTACCCAGAATGCTCTTGCCTTTCCTTCGGCATGGCTGATCCGTTCTTCTCTTTGAAATTTCAGCTGAAATATCACCTTTTTCAGAAGGAATGAGCCCAACCATCCTCTTCAACATTGAATCCTCAGGTGTATTTAAAAAAAAAAAAAGGTTTGACTTATAGAAAGAGGGAGGGAAGGAGGAGAGATGTTTAGGCCTGAGCTAGGCCAAAGCAGGGATCTGGAATCTCCATCCAGGTCTCCTGGCTGCTTGAGTCAGTCACATCTCCTGCTACCTCCCAGGATGCACATTAGAAGGAAACTGAAATTGTTGGCAGGGCCAGGGCTCCAACGCAGAGAGTCTGATATGGGCAGTGGGCCTCCCAAGCACAGTCTTTACCTGTAGGTCAATGCCATTGTTTCCTCCATCGCCAGCCTCATTTCTGACCAGCATCCCAACTGTTCTCTTTGAACCATTTGCTATAATTTGTGAATATCTACTTTACTGCTTGCTATTATCGTGTAAACCCAGGCTGTCACGTATGTGTTGCATGAACATGCAAGCTCATCAGAGCAGATACTCAGTCTGGATCACTGTGAAGTCCTTGGCACTTGACACCAGCACCCAGAGTTGATCCATAAACACCGAATAAGTGCATCATGGCAAACATATGGGACTGGAATCAATAACAACGACATCTGTGTTGACATTAAACTGATGTTCCATGGATGTTGAGTAATGACCCACCTGACAGTGGACACAGCCTTACCACGTGTTGGGGTACAGAGGTGCCCCCTGCCAGCCTCCCCTCAGGAAGTGGCCCTTTGGAAGGCATCATCTTAGTCATACTACGTGTGTGCTTTGGAGGCATGGTGTAGGTGCAAGGTTTTTCTTAAGCTAAGAATAAAGGACTATTTCACAAAAAGGACTGAAACCAGGAACTCTGATTCATTGAATCTGCTAATGGCCTTTCCCTTCCTGGGAAGCCTCGACAAGGGAAGCCTCCCTGGAGGAAGAGCCTTCTGCCTGACGTGAAGGCAGCCAGGACATGAACTGCGATGGTAGCCTGGGTGCCACCCCAGCCGGGGCTGTGCAAACAGAGGTTCCCTTTGCTCTGTTCCGTGGTGCGGTCTCTGGAAGAAGGCATGTTTCTCCCAGTTTTCTTTTTGAGGAGTTACTGACCAAACTGATAACCTCATGAATAAAACCTGCCATGATGCAAATGGATACAGAAATGAATAATTCATTCTAAAATTTGAAAGCAAAAAGAATCCAGGGTAAATCAATTTACAACCCAGAATATAATTATGGATAATTGGATAGGGTTAAAAAACAAAAAAAAAAAACAACCCATTTTATCTGCTGTTGTTTTCCCTTTCTGTCCTTTAAATTGCTTTTTTTTTTTTTGAAGCGACTTTTGCATCAAGCCTAAATTGCCTAATTACATAGCCTGTAATTGGGAAACTATGCACTGGGTCGGTTCATTGAAACCTGCAAAGTGGGAGGTGGATGCCAGCACAGCAGGAGGCAGAGGCTTGTTGGTTCCCTGGTGGACTTGGTGAAACACTGACCAGGTCCAGGAGGACACAGCGAGTTCCACCAGCATCTCCTTTCACCCACATGCCCAGTAGCATCAGTTCCCTTCCTGCTCAGCTCCTTTGGCCAGCACTGCCGAGAACCACCCTCTCTGGAAGAGCCACAGCTCCTAGGCACCTTGTGGTCTGAGGATGCCTCTCCACCACATTCTCGTGGAAGAACTCTCACAAGGTCACAAGTGGCTACAGAAAGCAACACCTGGTCATGGTCAGCCACCCAAGTGGAAATGGAGGCACCAAGAAGAGGGGTCATCCCTCCCTGCAATTGGCAGTGGAAGAGATCAGAGGCACGCTCCCGCCCCTCCCCACCATGTGTCTGACCTAGTGAAGGAGTTGTCTGGTTTCTGGCAGGAATGGCTATAAAACCATGATGTATTCTCCCCCAGGAGTTAGGAGCCCAGGGGCCCCAAGACAAACACTGCCACGTGGGTCTTCCCTGTAGCTGGGTGGAGAGCAGAGGCCATATGCATGATGCTCAGGAAACATAGTAGTTATATCAATACACATTCTTACATGCATCCTTCCCATGTACCCTTTCCTCCCAACAAGGAGAGGTTCCAGGTGCTTCACGGTGACCTTGGACACAAAGCATCCCCTCAGAGGCTTTCCCTGGGTTCTGAGGTCCTCACTGGCCAGGTTTTTCATCTGGGGTCCTTGCTCACCTCCCCCAGGGCCCTCCCAGGAAAACTTCTGATGGAAACACACTGATGCACTTGCCACCTCTTTCTCTGTTGTCACTGCTTCATGCCTCATCCTGTGGATTTGAGATGGATTGAAAGAACAGTTTGAATTGGGAGATCCCGGACCATCTCAATCATCTTTTCTGGATTTATTTTTCAGTAGAGATCGCAGCGGCTGGCAAACGGGTCCTTCTCATTGCAGAGGGACCAAGCAGGGTTTCATTTTCTTTTCCTTTTTTTTTTTCCATGAAATTTCTGGATGAGTGGAGACGCCGCGATCTGTGTGCAGTAGAGGCGGGCGTGTCTTCTCTCAAGGATCAAATACTCTGCGCAGGTCAACTCCATAAAGCAAAATCAGACCAGAAGCCTGCAGTCGCGGAAGGGGGTGTGGCAGGAGGGTGCAGGCGCTCCTTTTGGAGGGCCACCGAAGCGAATGTGACACAGCGAGAGGCGGGCTAGGAGAGCCGGGGAAAGGCTGCTGACTAGGGGAGGGCGTGTGCGTGTCCAGAGCGCTGGCTTGCTGGCAGCCCACTCCAACTCCACCACCCCAGGCCAGCGGAGTGTGTGATGCGGGAAGGGTGGAAGGGGGCAGCAGCAGGCGGGGCCTCGCCACGTCACTTGGAGAGAGTGTGTGTGTGGGGAAGGAAGGGCACAGCCTAGAACCGAGCCGCTGCAGCTGCAGTGGCAGCAGGGAAGGCTTGAGCCTTAGGGAGATAGGTTCCCGCGCCCCGCTGAGGTGGTGCCAGGGTCCTCTCCCAGGCCTGCGACTCGGCTCCTAGGGAGGAGGTGGCGGCTGTGGCAGCTGCAGCGACGACCTTGGCCAGACCGAGCCCCGCGCCGGACGCTGGGCGGAGGCCGGGAGTCCCTGGCGAGCTGGAGGGAGGCGCATCTGGAGTCTCGGTGTCCGCGGCAGCTAGGAGGTCCTAACTGCCGGAGAAGCGCGCCACGGGAGCCGCGAAGAGCTACTTCGCGTGGAGGACGCACCCAGGCGTCCGGGAGCCCGGAGCCCGCTTGGCGCGGGACGAAGGCACGCGCGTCTTTGCGGGCAGCCAGTTTCACACGCGCCAGCTGACTGTTCCAGCCATTCTTCCGAGGCTCTCGCACCGAGGCGCGGGCTAGCTGGCAGCGTGGAACCGGAGCCTCTGGATTCCGGGTCACCTCCTCGGAGCCAGCCTCGCAGGAACCCCCGGACTTGGCGGCTAACGGATCCAGCCAGCTATCCATCAGGTCAGCAGCCAGCCCCACCCCTAACGATCGGGCGCAGCTGGGAGCGGAGAGACGGGTGCGGCGCTCCGGAGCTTGCGGAGCTTGCGTCCTGGGTATCGACCTAGCCGCGGAGAGCGCACCGCGGAGAGGGACATGAGGTCAGAGAAGTCCCTGACGCTGGCGGCTCCGGGAGAGGTCCGGGGACCAGAGCAGGAGCAACAGGATGCCGGAGACTTCTCCGAGGCCGGCGCGGGCGGCGGCTGCTGCAGCAGCGAGCGCCTAGTGATCAACATCTCCGGGCTGCGCTTCGAGACGCAGCTGCGCACCTTGTCACTGTTTCCGGACACGCTGCTTGGAGACCCCGGCCGCCGCGTCCGCTTCTTCGACCCCTTGCGCAACGAATACTTCTTCGACCGTAACCGGCCCAGCTTCGACGCCATCCTGTACTACTACCAGTCCGGGGGCCGTCTGCGCAGGCCCGTCAACGTGCCGCTGGACATCTTCTTGGAGGAGATCCGCTTCTACCAGCTCGGGGATGAGGCTTTGGCCGCTTTCCGGGAGGACGAGGGCTGCCTGCCTGAGGGAGGCGAGGACGAGAAGCCGCTGCCCTCTCAGCCCTTCCAGCGCCAGGTGTGGCTGCTCTTTGAATACCCAGAGAGCTCTGGCCCAGCCAGAGGCATCGCCATCGTCTCGGTGCTGGTCATCCTCATCTCCATCGTCATCTTTTGCCTGGAGACCCTGCCCCAGTTCCGCGCCGACGGTCGCGGAGGAGGCAATGGTGGTGGGGCTGTGAGTGGCGGTGGGGGTGGCGGCTCTCTGATTTCCAGGGGCAGCCAGGAGGAAGAGGAGGATGAAGAAGAGTCTTATGCATTCTCCCCGGGCCTCGCCCCTGGGGCAATGGGGACAGGAGGCTCCGCCTCGCTCAGCGCTCTGGGAGGCTCCTTCTTCACTGACCCCTTCTTCCTTGTGGAGACGTTGTGCATCGTCTGGTTCACGTTCGAACTCCTCGTGCGCTTCTCTGCCTGCCCCAGCAAACCTGCCTTCTTCCGAAACATAATGAATATCATCGACCTGGTGGCCATCTTCCCCTACTTCATCACCCTGGGCACCGAGTTGGTGCAGCAACATGAGGCAGCCAGCGGCGGGGGTGGGCAGAACGGGCAGCAGGCCATGTCTCTGGCCATCCTCCGGGTGATCCGCCTGGTGCGCGTCTTCCGCATCTTCAAGCTCTCCCGTCACTCCAAGGGGCTGCAGATCCTGGGCAAGACCCTGCAGGCCTCCATGCGAGAGCTGGGGCTGCTCATCTTCTTCCTCTTCATCGGTGTCATCCTCTTCTCCAGCGCCGTCTACTTCGCAGAGGCTGATGACGACGACTCGCTTTTCCCCAGCATCCCAGATGCCTTCTGGTGGGCGGTGGTCACCATGACCACGGTGGGCTATGGGGACATGTATCCCATGACCGTGGGGGGCAAGATCGTGGGCTCACTGTGCGCCATCGCTGGGGTCCTCACCATCGCGCTGCCTGTGCCAGTCATCGTCTCCAACTTCAACTACTTCTACCATCGCGAGACAGACCACGAAGAGCAAGGCCAGTATACCCACGTCACCTGTGGGCAGCCTGCACCGGATCTCAAGGCCACTGACAATGGACTTGGCAAACCTGACTTCCCGGAAGCCACCCGGGAGCGCAGGCCTAGCTACCTTCCCACTCCACATCGGGCCTATTCTGAGAAAAGGGTGCTTACTCAGGTTTGACCCGATGGGCGGAGCCCCTACGGGAGTGTCCCAGCCTGGGCAATCTCTGTGGGGCTTCCTCCTCCTCGTCCAGGCAACCCTTCTCCTAGTTCCACTGGACTTCTCTCACTGCCCTGGAACCTGGTCCATGATATCCAGGGCTCTGATCCCTGCAGCATCCAAGGTTCATCCATCCTAAGGGATAATCTGACATTCCAACGGTGCGACTCAATCATGCCCAGTGTCTGTCATCACCTGAATGAGACATCCATTTCTTCCCTCAAGACTTCGAGTTTTCACATCTGGGACTTGTAAATATCTCTTGGAAGGGCAACTGAAGGGACAGACACCAGCCATCCTTGGGTCAAATCCTCCCTCCACCCCCCTTTGCTTTGGGTCATGTACCTGTCTGAAGCTGGATGGCAGTCACGGTGCTCAGCTTGCTTTTTTCAGACCTGTGCCCATCACATCTGGGCATCCTGCAGAAGATCCTCGCTGGAGTTTCCAATTGCACAGCCTCAATTTCCTTTCTCATCTTTTGTTGGAATTAGAGAAACATACAATGACCCATGGCCATGTGGAGGTTGCAAGGCTTAGTCCTGGGCCACAGGGGGTCGTGGGTCCTTCCAGGTGTGTCCGGCTCTGATCCCCAACTCTGTCTAGTTTGCAGGAAGGAAGGTTCTTGGAGCCACAAACTCTTGTTTTGTTCTGTTTTTGTGCAAGTGCCTTCCTGGATGGAGAAATTGGTAAAAGGGGCAGCACGTTGGCAGGAGAAATGGCAAGGATAGTCAGGCATCTGGCTGGACCACAGTTCTACGACCGAGTGCCGCTGTAGTAGTGCAGCATCTCATTGCAGACAGCAGCCCTTTCTCCCTTGTGTTTCATAAACTCTTCCCTCTCTCTTGGTTTCTCTCTGGGCTTCAGCTGCTGCTTTTCCAGACCAAGTCCAGCTTCATCCTATAGACAGGTGAAGGCAAACCTTGGGTGCCAGCGGGGGTTTCTTCCTTTTGTATGGGCTCTGAAGGATGTGGTTTAGATGAGAAGCCATCATTGTTCTTTTGTGGACAACCTCATGGATCAGAGACCTTTTGTTGTTTTTGTGCTGAGTCCAGCCACCATGTGCCACCTCAGCCCTTGGAGCTGCAGCCAGCCTCCTCTAGCTGATAGGAATCAGGGTGGGGTTCCCACTTGGGCCAAGCCATCTTCTGTGGTGAAACAACTGCCATCCATTGCACCTGCCTTGTCCCACCTCATAACTTTGATAAACTATGATGGACTTTTCTGAATTTTCCCTGGTGCAGTTCTGAGAACAAAATGACTGTTAGCACATTTTAAATTTGATTTCCATGCTTGCAGACTCTAGGATCAGGGTGTTTTAAAAAATATTTTTCTCGAGAAGCAACTTAGAAGGGACAGCCTTGCAGGAGAAGAGGGTGTTGTAAAGACACTGTGGCTGTTGTGTGTGCCAGGTTTAAGCCTGCATGATGCCTATATTTTTCAGGGTGACTTGGTGCGCCCATGTCTATACGTATGAAATGGGAGTATAGAACATCTTACTCCATCACCACCTCAGGCCTCCTGGGAGAATGTCAACGAGCTCATCTGGGAGGTTAGGAGCAATGCTAGGCAGACATGTGAGTTTGATTTTTTGTTTATCTAGCTGCCTTCTTCAAGACTTCCTTGCTTGGATCCAAAGCCCAATAATAAGCTATTGTGAGCCATTCATTCCTTAAGTCCGTTCATCTGTGGCGTTTTATCTGCAACCTTTTTTCTTACCCTTTGGAAGGAAGGACTCTCTTTGGAGTTGTTCATTAGGTCCCTCCCTGGCTGACTAGAGCACACCCTGCCTGGGAACATGTCTTCTGCAGACTTGAACCACAGTAGTAGACAGAGCACAGGAGAGCTGCTTCCCACACCCTCTGCACCTGCTCCAGGCTGGATGGGGAATGCCTTAAAAAGGTCCATGCAGAGGGATGCTCCCAGCTGAGGGTCATGTTGGGATGGATGCACCTGCTTGTGTCTGTGGGCATGTAATCATCCTTAAGAGAGCCTTGCTTTTGCAAGTCAGAACAGGCCTGAACCTAAAAAGGTTTGTGGCGAGCTGGAATCTCCAGGGATTCTGGTTGCCATAGCAACCTTGCAGCCCAGTTTATTCCGGCTTTGGGCACTGAGGGAGAACAGGGCACAGATTCCTAGCTTCTCAAATGGGAGCACCTCTCGCATATTGGCTTCAGAGCTGGTTTTGACAGGATAGGGATGGGACACTTTCCTTCTCTGGACTTTTCTTTCTGGTTTCCATACCTGGCTATTGAAGCTGCCATGACTTCCCTTGGACTCTTTATAAATTGAATACTAAGCGACCCACCGTTAAACCAACGTTGATGCCATGATCAATTGTCAGAATGGGAGCCCTCGGAGAGCACGGTGTTCCCCTGTGGCGGGCTGGGCTCTGCACCAGAAGGCTCTTCCCAGCTCCTCCAGAGGCAGGGAGAACACCTCTTACTGCTCCCAGGGCACAGCCTGGCTCGCAAGTGCAATCTCCACTGTGGTCCTTGCCGAGATGCTGGAGAAGAACGAAGAGGCTGTGACATGACTTGGTTTCTGTGAAGGATGCTCTGGCGGATGAGGCCTTTCTGACTCCGAGCTGCATTTTGGGGATCTTACGTGCTCTGAGCTGCTGTGACAGCCGGCGTGGCGGCTCCCAGCTGCCAGGAAAGGTGGGGTCCACACCTTCCTTACACCTGACTCCAGCTGATGGTAGGAGGTTGCTCCTCAGGGACTGCCTGGAACAGCCCACCCAAGCATGCAACCAGGGATACTCCTGCCGCCTGTGTGTCCCTGGGCACTGCCGAGGGCCAGCTGGCCAGCTCTGCAGCTGAGGTAGGCTCTGCTGAACGGAATTCCCTTCCTGGCTCAGCTCAGGCAGAACTAGGGCTGGGTGGGGGTGGAAAAGAGGCTGAGAGCACTGCTTCAGTCTTGGATTCCTTAACTTACTCTCCCAGTCCTCTGAGTCTGTTCTCTTACTGCTGCACCCTTTAACCATCACGTCATTTCCCCTGAGTTGCCTGCTGTCCTCCTTTTTTAGTCTCACATTTTCTACTATTCTTTCTTCCTCTGATTCCCTTCCTGTTGGCTCTCCCCACCTGCTGTGTGAACCTTAACTTCCTTGTGTGTGTGTGTGTGTGTGTGTGTGTGTGTGTGTGTGTGTGTGTCTTCCCCTGTCTCCAGCTTGTTGGTGACTGGGAACCCTCCTGTATTTTGTGTGGACTTTGTACTCTGCACTGTAGGTCTCCTGGGGTCCAGGGTGTGAGGGTGTGTGTTCAGGGGGTGCACCCACCTTCCCCTGGCATCTCAGGAGCCCATCCCTTCCTACCATGCCAACCAACTGCAAGATGAGTTTGAAGAGAAAAGGTTTATGAACAAGGATAAAAGAGGTGGGAAGGAAGGAGAGAGAGAGAGAGAGAATATGTATCTGTAAGTTGGAGATGAATTCTGTGCTGTCCAGCTTTGAAATGTATCCACCTTTTAAGAAGCTTGCAAAATGGCGAGCCATAAAGGAACAGTGGAACTAATAAAATAGGAGAGGCCTTAGAGGAAGGCACAGAATTGAGGTGAGCCTAGAGGAAGCTGTAACCTTGGACTGCCCTTAATTCACTCAAAGACTTCTTCAGTGTCCAGCTGGCTCTCTGGTGCATGAAGGTGAAACACAAGGACATGATGTAGTTTCCAGCACCTTAGGTGCAGGTGCCGGGGGGTGTGGCTCGTGGTGATGTAAACTGAGGTCCATCCTAGGTCCTGGGCATGGAGTCTCCTTGCTGGAGGTCACATAGTGCAGAGCACGGCTGGCCTGGGCCAGAGCATAGGCTTGGCCCAAGGGGCTGGAGGCTGTGCTGTGTTGCTGGTCCCAGAGAGAGCTTCTGGGGATCATGGGAACATTCTGACGCCAAATCATGCTGACAGTTGCCACAGTTCCTCACAACAACCTAAAAACTCACTGAGTTGTGAAAAATAAAGACACACAAGTCCACTAATAACCCAGGAGCTGCCCATCTGTGCTGGGAGGCGGTTTGGTTTTGTATATCATGCGGTGGGATGGCTGAGGCTAGACTGGCCTGGATGTGTGTGGAATCGGGTCACCTGGGGGACCCTTGAGAGTTTTTTTGCAGTTCACGTGCAATTCCTAGAACTGCTGCGTGTATTTGTGTGTGTGTTTACTTCATATGAGTGTGCAAATAATGGGATTCTTATTTCTTTTGCTCTAATGCTGGTCAGCTCTTTTTCTTTGCGGGGTTGGGGGGGTGTGAACTGCAGAGCACAGTTTCTATGGATGGAACAAGGGGATGTTTGGTGGATGTTATTTATCATAGAGGGCCAGGGCAGTGTGAGATTGCTTGCCAAGGAGCTTAACAATTGGCTGGGGGAGGGGGAAGCAACCCTCACTCTTCCTCCTGTACCCAGACGAACCAGCACTCCATCTGATTTCTATACCTGTTAATTCCTTTGGAAATGGCCTAAGAGCACAGGTTTGGTTTTTCTCTGCTGCACTCCCATTCTCCTCTCATGAGTCTTTAACTCCTAACAGCCTGGTGACCATGATGGGCGGGCCCATCAGTCTTGGTGCTTTGGATGAACAAAAGGAAGGGGAGATAACAGCTTTGATCTCTCTTGCTTTTCTCAGCATCATGGGTCTGTGCTGTCACTTGCCTAGTGCAAAGGGTTCCCCCTCCTCTCTCTTTGGGACTTTCCTTCAGGTTCCATCTTCCTGCCTGACCTTCAGGATCCCGTGCATGTAGCCATATTTCTATCCTATCAGATCTTGACCCAAACATCGAGACAACTCTCCAGGAACACCATCCTCCTAGGGCAGCCTGGTTGGCATGGCTGTCCTTGCTGATTGGATTTGACCATGAGTTACCACCATGGACAGGGGAGTGTGATTCAGTTCCAGCAAGGCATGGTCACTTGGAGGAAGAGAGGACACTGGGAGGCTTTTCCCGTTTCTGGCTGCTTCTGTATGCACA